GCGGGGCCAATTTTGACCCCAGGGCTTTTCTTTGAACAAACTTGATAGACACCTATTAGAACATGTTTGATGCTCAATATCTTAGCCATAGCTCTTTAAGTTCTTTAAAAGAAGATTTTTTAAGTTTTCACTATATGCATATAGGGAAAATCAATGACCCCCCGGGGCGGGGCCAATTTTGACCCCAGGGCTTTTATTTGAACAAACTTGGTAGACACTCACTAGAACATGTTTCATGCCAAATATCTAAGCTCTAGCTCTTATGGTTTTTTAAAAGAAGATATTTAAAGTTTTTTCTTTCGGTTGCCATGGCAACCAGAGTTCTGCATGGAATTAAATTCTTTGAACAATTTTTAAAGGTGACCACCAAAGGAACATTCCTGTGAAGTTTGGATGAAATTGGCCTTGTGGTTTATGAGGAGATGTCATTTAAAGTAAAAGTTTACGGACGACGGACGGACGACGGACGGACGCCGGACGAAAAGCGATCACAAAAGCTCACCCTGTCACTTTGTGACAGGTGAGCTAAAAAGGGCAATAACCCAAAAATTAGGAAGTGCAGAGTACCGGTTCTTGTGCACTGCACTTCTTCTTAATGAGATCTATCATCCTATGAAGTTTCAAGTTCATAGCTTTTATATTTGAAGAGAAATGGCCCGGAGAAAATTAAAGTATGAAAATTAACAAAGGGCAATAACTCAAAAATTAGGAAGTGCAGAGTACCGGTTCTTGTGCACTGCACTTCTTCTTAATGAGATCTATCATCCTATGAAGTTTCAAGTCCATAGCTTTTATATTTGAAAAAAATTGGCCCGGAGAAAATTAAAGTATGAAAATTAACAAAGGGCAATAACTCAAAAATTAAGAAGTGCAGAGTACCGGTCCTTGTTCACTGCACTTCTGGTTATTAAAAGAAGCATGCATACCAAGTTTGAAGTCAATGAGACTTATAGTGACTGAGTTATGCTCCGGACAAGATTTAGGGGATGCCGACACCGAGGCTGACAAAAGTAGCCCCTATTTGTCACCTTTAAAAGGCGACACAAAAACCAACACATTTATCTGATGGCAATCATTACAGCAAAAATGAGGTCAACAACACTATGACTGTAGCATCTCCTCTTTTTCTTGTATAAAGTCAAACTAAAATTCATATCATGATCTACAAGTGAGACCTTAACTCATCATCCATAAATAACAAAATTATGGATCAGACAATGTCCAGATGAAAGGACAGACTGACAGATAGAATATACAAAATCTATGTGCCTTCCCATTTTCGGGGTAATAAAAACATTTATAGACATAGAATACAAGAAGTTTTATAATGCAAGTGAATGTATGCCCTTTTTATAACAATTAAAGAACAAGATTGCATTTGAGAAAAATGCTATGCCACCGCATTAATACAACACTAAATAGTAGTGTAGGAACAGATTTTTTTTGTTTCTATACAATTTTGAAGATTGTCATAATGCATAGATCCCTGACCTATCTAATTCTTAATATCAGATTAGTGGTTAAATCTGTTGTTAACTCAATAAAAGATCAGAGTAGGAATATATCAATGCACTGGAGTCTAGTGAATTAGGTGGTGAAGGTCATATTTCACACAGGCTAAATTTCATGACTACATTAAATGCCACACAGTAAGACACTTTGTCAAAATCTAGGTCAGTTCAATTTTACAACTAAAACTGTGCACATGGTCAAAATTGTCCCCTTGGGCAAGGCAAAATTTTGGACCCAAGGATTTAATTCAAAACAATCTTGATACAGTCCACCAAACAACATTTCAAGTTGTAGCTTTCTCCCATTCAGAAAACATTTGTTTTATTTTCTGTTTTTACTATGTGTACATAATGAGAATCACTGCCCCGGGGCAGGGCCAATTTTGACACCAGGGGAAAAATTTGAACAACTTTGGTAGAGCACCTATAGATGATATTATATAGCTAACATCAAAGCTCTATGCCTTGTACCTTTAGACAAAAATATTTTTTTACTATATGTACATAATGAAAATCAATGACCCCTGGGGCGGGACCAATTTTGACCCCAGGGCTATAATTTAAACAATCTTTGTAAAGGTTCACTTCACAAAGTCTCATGCCATATATTTAACCTCTAGCCTTTGTCAATTCAGAGAAGAAGATTTTTCAATTCAGAGAAGAAGATTTTTCAAGTTTTTACTTTATACATATAAGGAAAACTATCGCCTCTGGGGCAGGGCAATTTTAACACTAGGGGCATAATTAAAACAACTTTAGTAGAGGACCTATAGATGATATTATATACCAAATATCAAAGCTCTAAGCCTTGTACCTTCAGACAAGAAGATTTTTTACTATATGTTCATAGTGAAAATCAATGACCCCTGTGGGGGGGCCAGGCCAATTTTGACCCCAGGGCTATAATCTTGCTAGGGGTTCACTACATAATGTTTCATGAAAAATATCTAACTCTAGCCTTTGTAAATTTAGAGAAGATGATTTTTTTAAGTTTTTACAAAATACATATAAGGAAAACCTATGGCCCCCGGGGTAGGGCTAATTTTCACACTAGAAGCAAAATTTGAACAACTTTGGTAGAGTACCTATAGATGATATCATTTAACAAATATTAAAGCTCTAGGCCTTGTACCTTCAGACAATAAGATTTTTTTGATTTTTTACTATATGTTTATAAAATTATTGAAAATTAATGACCCCCGGGGCGGGGGCAATTTTCACCCCAGGGCTATAATTTGAACAATCTTGCTAGAATTCACTTCACAATGTTTCATGCAAAATATCTAACCTCTAGCATTTGTCAATTACTAGAAGATTTATTTTAAAGTTTTTACTATATACATATAAGGAAAACCAATGACCCCCAGGGCGGGGCCGATTTTGACCCCAGGGCTATAATTTGAACAATTTGGGTAGAGGTCTACCAGACAATGCCTTATGCAAAATATCTAAGCTCTAGGCCGTTTTGGTCTTTACAAGAAGGATTTTAAGTTTTTACTGTATATACATATAGTGAAAATCAATGACCCCCGGGACAGGGCCGATTTTGACCCCAGGGCTATAATTTGAACAATTTTGGTAGAGGTCTACCAGACAATGCCTTATGCAAAATATGTTAGCTCTAGGCCTTTTGGGTCTTTACAGAAGGTATTTTATGTTTTTACTATATGTATATATAGTGAAATTAATGACCCCCGGGGCGGGGCCGATTTTGACCCCAGGGCTATAATTTGAACAATCTTGGTAGAGGTCTATCAGACAATGCCTAATGCAAAATATCTAAGCTCTAGGCCTTTTTGATCTTTACAAGAAGATTTTTAAAATTTATTCTTATAATTCCTTTTGGTTGCCATGGCAACCAGATTTCTGCATGGAATGAAATTCTTTGGACAACTTTGGAAGCCCTTCACCCAAGGATCAATCCTGCCAAGTTTGGTTGAAATTGGACTAGTGGTTTTTCACAAGAAGATTTTTTAAGTTCACTATATAATCTATATAACACACACACACACACAAACAAACAAACACACACACACACATACACACACAAGTGAATCGCTATATGCCACCACATCGCAGATGCTGCGGTGGCATAAAAAATACTTTATTTAAAGATATTTGTAAAATCACATATTTAGTCAATTCATTACATGCTACTTTTCAAGTTCGTTACAATTATTTAACAAAAGGGCTATGATGGCCCTGAAATAGCTCACTGTATACAAGACCTCTCCATGACATGGAACAAGAAATATTGTAAACTATAAACAAAATCTAAATCTTAAACTGATATCACAATCTGAAATATTGCATGTATAAAATTATTACTGTTTGCTATTGCTAAGGCGAAACAACAGTTCCACATGACGTGTACATAATTATGATGAAAATAAATGACACCCAGGGGCAGGGCCAGTTTTGCCCCAAGGTTTTTAATTGAAAAAACTTGGTAGACACTCACAAGAAGATGTTTCATGCTAAATATCTAAGCTCTAGCTATTTGTTTTTTTAAAGTAGATTTTTTAAAGTTTTTACTTTATACACATAAGGAAAATCAATGACATCCCGGGGTGGGGCCAATTTTGACCACAGGGCTTTTATTTGAACAAACTTGGTAGACACACACAAGAAGATATTTCATGATAAATATCTAAGCTTAGCTCTTTGGGTTTTATTTTAAAGATTTTTTTTTACATTTTTTACTATATACATACAAGGAAAATCAATGACAACACGGGTCGGGCCAATTTTGACCTAAGGGCTATTATTTGAACAGACATGGTGTACACACACACGAGAAGATGTTTCATGCTAAATATCTAAGCTCTAGCTCTTTGGGTTTTTAAGATGTTTTTTTTGTTTATACTACATACATATAATGAAAATCAATGATGCCCTGGGGTGGGTCAAATTTTGACCCCTGGGCTTTTATTTGAACAAACTTGGTAGACACACCCTAGAAGATATTTCATGCTTAGTATCTAAGCTCTAGTTATTTAGGTTTTTTAAAAGATGATTATTTAAAGATTTTTCTACATACATATAAGGAAAATCAAAGACCCCTAGGGTGGGGCCCATTTTGACCCCAGAGCTTTTATTTAAACAAACTTGGTAGACACTGACTAGACAATGATTCATGCCAAATATTTAAGCTCTAGATCTTTAGTTTTTTTTTAAAGAAGATTTTTTAAGTTTTTTCTTTCGGTTGCCATGGCAACCAGAGTTCTACATTGAATTAAATTCTTTGAACAATATCTAAAGTTGACTAGTCACTACCAAAGGAACATTCCAGTGAAGTTTGGATGGAATTGCCCTGGTGGTTTATGAGGAGATGTCGTTTAAAGTAAAAGTTTACAGACAGACGGAGGATGGACGGATGACGACGTACAAAAAGCGATCACAAAAACTCACCATGTCACCTTGTGACAGGTGGGCTACAAAAAAAGTTACAATAGAGATATTTTTTGCAAGATATGAGATTTTTCTTACAATCACATTATCTGTGACTTTTTTGGCTGTCATTTTCTTCAAGTGTGTTGTTCCATCGCCTTCTGGTCCAAATTTGGCAATCATTTCTCTCACAACTGTTCATTTAAAAAGTAAAAAAGGCTTAATTACAAACATTTAACACTTCTTTAAAGAAGAGTTACATGGCAAAAAGTTAATGCAGCAACTTTTGTTTTTTCCAACAAAAACAAATTGGTCATGTATGACAAGCAATTATCATTGTATGGCAAGCAATATAAAAGTCCCCTTCTGGTTAGAACCCAAGATATACTCGTAAGGGCCTGGGAACAGTGAGTGACATGATGGCCATTCAATTATGCAATTTTGGAATAAATTAATAAGAGCCGGTTGAACCGGGTGATGCTCTGCGAATAGGTTTTGGACACATGAAGGTATACCTCTTGTCGTGTCAGAGTTATGTCACAGACAAAATTCAAAAAGAAAAACAACCAAAATGTTGCGCATGACACGTCGTCTCAATATGGTGATCATTTCTGTGAAATTATTGTAAAATGTGACTTCAAATAACGAAGTTATGAGCCGGACACGATTTTGCTGCAAGGTCATGCTGTGATATTGACCTTCAAGGTAGCGACCCAAATGCTGCGTGTGACACGTCGTCTCAATATGGTGATCATTTTTGTGAAATAGTTATAAAATCCAACTTCAAATAACAAAGTTATGGGCCAGACACGAATTTGGCACGTAAGGACGGACTAAATACTTACGAATTGGTATTTATGTGACTTTTCCTTTGATCTTTTTAGTCATTTTTAGTCACACAAGGTTTAAAAAAAGACACACAAGTAAAAACGGAATGAAAAAGATCAAAGAGAATTTACTGTTACCCATTGTTCTCCAAGTCACACAAGTACCTCTAGGTTTGCACAGACGGACGGACAACCCGGCGACTATAATTATGCTCCCCCGAAATTTTTCGGGGAGCATAAAAAATAGATTTAAAAACTAAATGTCATATCTTGACATAAAAAAACAAGAGGGCCATGATGGCCCTGAGTCGCTCACTTGAAACAACTGCTTTTCAGTGTTGGAATGTCAATATATTCTTATATTAAATTTGAGCATAGAACATGTTTAAACAATAATTTGAAGATATGCTATGACCTGGGGCATTTAAGCTTTAGCTTTAACGGGGTAATCAAATTAATATGAGCAAACTTGATAAAGACTACCTAAGAATGCTACAAAGTTTGGTGATCATCTATCAATTATTTCAATAGAAAATGATGTTCGAAGGTTTTTTTTTCTATTTTAAGCTTTAGTAACCCTTAAAAGGGGCTAATCAAATTAATATAAGCAAACTTGATAAAAGAGTACCCAAGAATTCTACAGACAAAGTTTGGTGATCATCCATCAATTGGTTCTGAAGTAGAAGATGTTTAAATGTTTTTCTATTTTTAGCTTTAGCGGCCCCTAAAAGGGGTCTATCAAATTAATGTGAGCAAAATTGATAAAAATTTACCCAAAAATGCTACAGACAAAGTTTGGTGATCATCCATTAATTAGTTCTGTAAGAGAAGATGTTTAAACGTATTTCTATTTTTAATTTTAGCGGCCCCTAAAAGGGGCTAATCCAATTAATTTGAGCAAACTTGATAAAAGACTAGCCAATAATGCTACAGACAAAGTTTGGTGATCATCCATCAATTGGTTCTGAAGTAGAAGATGTTTAAAGTTTTTTTTTTTTATTTTTAGCTTTAGAGGCCCCTACAAGGGGGCCAATCAAATTTATGTGAGCAAACTTGATAAAAGATTACCCAAAAATGCTACAGAGAAAGTTTGGTAATCATTCATCAATTAGTTCTGTAGCAATAGACGTTTAAATGTATATCTGTGTTTAATTTTAGCGGCCCCTAAAAGTGGCCAATCAAAATAATATGAGCAAACTTGATAAAAGTCTACCCAACAATTCTACTGACAAAGTCTGGTGATCATCTATCCATTAGTTGTGCAGAAAAAGACATTTAAAGGTATTTCTATTTTTTCATCTTAAGCGGCCCCAATTAGTTCTGAAGAAGAAGATATCTTAAGATTTTTCTACTTTTAGCTATAGAGACCCATAAAAGGGGCTAATCAAATTAATATGGGCTTTCTTGATATAAGACTACCCAAGAATGCTACAGACAAAGTTTAGTGATCATCCATCAATTAGTTCTGCAGAAATAGACATTTAAAGGTATTTCTATTTTTAGCTTTTGCGGCCTTTAAAAGGGGCCAATCAAAATAATATTAGCAAACTTGATAAAAAGCTACCCAAGAATGCTACAGACAAAGTTTGGTGATCATCCATCAATTAGTTCTCTAGATATAGGCATTTAACTATATTTCTTTTTTTAGCTTTAGAGGCCCCTAAAAGGGGCCAATCAAAATAATATGAGCAAACTTGATAAAAGACTACCTAAGAATGCTACAGACAAAGTTTCATGATCATCCATCAATTAGTTCTGTAGAAATAGACCTTTAAAGGATTTTCTATTTTTAGCCCTAGAGACCCCTAAAAGGGGCTAATCAAATTAATATGAGCAAACTTGATAAAAGACTACACAAGAATGCTACAGACAAAAATTGGTGATCATCCATCAATTTGTTCTGTAGAAGATGTTTAAAGGTTTTTCTATTTTTAGCTCTGCTGACCCCTAAAAGGGGCCAATTGGAATGACATGAGCAAATTCCAGTGTGGACTGTCGCAAGGATGCTACAGACCAAATTTTGAAGTAAATCTGCTTTTAGTAGTTAAGAGAAGAAGACGATTGTTGACGCATGACCGACAGACCCCGGAGCATCCCCCTCTGATACTAATAGCTCACCCTGAGCCTTCGGCTCTGGTTTAGCTAACAAAATATTGTAATGTTTAAAATTCAATTTTAAATTTCTAAGGTTTTAAGCTAACTTTGGTTAGCGGTCACTGAAATTTTCTAACCGGTTTTAGGCTAAAAGCAAGATTGCAATTTTTGAAAAATGCTATTGCCATCGCATTAATACAGTGTAGGAACAGATTGTTTTTTTGTTTCTATACAATTGAAGATTGTCATAATGCATAGATCCCTGACCTATCTTAATTCTTATTATCAGATTAGTGGTTAAATCTATTGTTAACTCGATAAAAGATCAGAGTAGGAATATATCAATGCATTTGAGTTAAGTGAAATTAATATTGGAGGTGAAGGTCATATTTCACACAGCCTAAATTTCATGACTACATCAAAGGACAACACAGAAAAACACTTTGTCAAAATCTAGGTCAGCTGATATCAAAGTTCACTTTACATCTTTATCTGTGCACATGGTTCAAATTTCATAGCTGTACATCAAAGGACAAGATAGAAGGTCACATCATCAAAATCTAGGTCACCTGATATCTAAGTTCAATTTTACAACTAAAACTGTGCACATGGTCAAAATTTCATTGCTCTACATCAAAGGACAAAAAAGTAGGTCACTGTCCCCTTGGGCAAGGCAAAATTTTGACCCAAGGGTTTAATTAAAAACAATCTTGATACTGGTCCACCAAACAACATTTCAAGTCAAATATCTAAGCTGTAGCTTTCTCCCATTCAGAAAACATTTGTTTTATTTTCTGTTTAACTATGTGTACATAATGAGAATCACTGCCCCTGGGCAGGGCCAATTTTGACACCAGGGGAAAAATTTGAACAACTTTGGTAGAGGACAGATATAGATGATATTATATAGCAAACATCAAAGCTCTATGCCTTGTACCTTCAAACAAAAATATTTTTTTATTTTTTTAGTATATGTACATAATGAAAATCAATGACCCCCGGGTCGGGACCAATTTTGACCCCCTGGGCTATAATTTGAACAATCTTGGTAAGGGTACACTTCTCAAAGTCTCATGCCATATATTTAACTTCTAGCCATTGTCAATTCATAGAAGAAGATTTTTCAAGTTTTTACTTTACACATATAAGGAAAACTATTGCCTCTAGGGCAGGGCAATTTTAACACTAGGGGCATAATTAAAACAACTTTAGTAGAGGACCTATAGATGATATTATATACCAAATATCAAAGCTCTAAGCCTTGTACCTTCAGACAAGAAGATTTTTATTTTTTTACTATATATGTACATAGTGAAAATCAATGACCCCTGGGGGTGGGGCCAATTTTGTCCCCAGGGCTATAATTTGTACAATCTTGCTAGAGGTTCACTACACAATGTTTCATGCAAAATATCTTAACTCTAGCCTTTGTAAATTTAGAGAAGATGATTTTTTAAGTTTTTTACTATACACATATAAGGAAAATCTTAGGCCCCTTTTGACACTAAAGGCAAAATTTGAACAACTTTGGTAGAGTACCTATAGATGATATCATTTAACAAATATTAAAGCTCTAAGCCTTGTACCTTCAGACAATAAGATTTTTTTATTTTTTACTTTATTTATATATTTAAAATCAATGACCCACTGGGCTGGGGCAATTTTGTCCTCAGGGCTATAATTTGAACAATCTGGGTAGAGGTCTACCAGACAATGCCTTATGCAAAATATCTAAGCTCAAGGCCTTTTGGGTCTTTACAAGAAGGTATTTTAAGTTTTTACTATATGTAAATATAGTGAAAATCAATGACCCCCGGGGCGGGGCCGATTTTGACCCCAGGGCTGTAATTTGAACAATCTTGGTAGAGGTCTACCAGACAATGCCTTATGCAAAATATCTAAGCTCTAGGCCTTTTGGGTCTTTACAAAAAGATTTTTTAAATTTATTCTTATAATTCCTTTTAGTTGCCATAGCAACCAGATTTCAGCATGGAATGAAATTCTTTGAACAACTTTGGAAGCTGTTCGCCCAAGGATCAATCCTGCCAAGTTTGGTTGAATTTGGACTTGTGGTTTTTCACAAGATTTTTAAATTCACTATATAATCTATAGAACACACACACACACACACACACACACACACACACACACACACACACACACACACACACACACACACAAACAAACACACACACAGGTGAATTGCTATATGCCAAAACGACCAAACCCATTAAAATATGACACCCCTTATATGCAAAACTTAGGCTAAATATGTGTCTGTCAAGTTATAATCATATACTTACTGACAGCAAAACTGTAATAATCCCAGCTCTCGTTTGCACTTGATTCTCCAAATTTAGGATGTAAGTAAAATAAACTTCCACCAGTTTTACTTGATTTATCATCTTTTTCTCTTGCTAACCCAAAGTCAATAAGGCGGGCATTAAACATATCATCCAACACAATATTTTTAGAGGCTATATCTTTGTGAAGAATTACAGTTCTGAAACACAACACTGACATGTTACAAGAGAGGACAGTTATACTATAACATTATACTTTCTTAAAGAAGAAAACTTTTAATCACCAGAAACCTGGGGTATTTAAGCTTTAGCTTAAACGGGACTAATCAAATTAATATGAGCAAACTTGATTAAAGACAACCTAAGAATACTATAAAGTTTGGTGATCATCTATCAAATATTTCAGTAAGAAATGATGTTCGAAGGTTTTTTCTATTTTTATCTTTAGTGACCCCTAAAAGGGGCTAATAAAATTCATATAAGCAAACTTGATAAAAGACTACCCAAGAATGCTACAGACAAAGTTTGATGATCATCCATCAATTGGTTCTGAAGAAGATGTTTAAAGGTTTTTCTATTTTTAGCTTTAGAGGCCCCTGAAAGGGGCCAATCAAATTAATATGAGTAAACTTGATAAAAGATTACCCAAGAATGCTACAGAAAAAGTTTGGTGATCATCAATTAATTATTTCTGTAGGAGATGTTTAAACGTATTTCTATTTTTAATTTTAGCGCCCCCTAAAAGGGGCTAATCAAGTTAATATCAGCAAACTTAATAAAAAACTACCCAATAATGCTACAGACAAAGTTTGGTGATCATCCATCAATTAGTTCTGTAGCAATAGACGTTTAAATGTATACCTTCTTTTAATTTTAGCGGCCCCTAAAAGGGACCAATCAAATTGACATATGACCAAACTTGATAAAAGACTACCTAAGAATACTACAAAGTTTGGTGACCATCCATCAATTGGTTCTCTAGAAATAGACATTTAACAATATTTCTATTTTTAGCTATAGAGACCCCTAAAAGGGGCTAATCAAATTAATATGAGCTTACTTGATAAAAGACTACCCAAGAATGGTACAGACAAAGTTTGGTGATCTTCCATCAAAGAGTTCTGTACAAATAGACATTTAAAGGTATTTCTATTTTAAGCTTTTGCGGCCACTAAAAGGGGCCAATCAAAATAATATTAACAAACTTGATAAAAGACTACCTGAGAATGCTACAGACAAAGTTTGGTGATCATCCATCAATTAGTTCTGTAGGAGAAGATGTTTAAAGGTTTTTTCTATTTTTAGCCCTAGAGACTCACCCCTAAAAGGGGCAAATCAAAATAATATTAGCTAACTTGATAAAAGACTACCTAGGAATGCTACAGACAAAGTTTGGTGATCATCCATCAATTAGTTCTGTAGAAATAGAAATTTAAAGGTTTTTCTATTGTTAGCCCTTAAGAGACCCCTAAAAGGGGCCAATCAAATTAATATGAGCAAACTTGATTAAAGACTACCCAAGAATGCTACAGACAAAGTTTGGTGATCATCCAACCACTAGTTCTGTAGAAGAAGATGTTTAAAGGTTTTTCTATTTTTAGCTCTGCTGACCCCTAAAAGGGGCCAATTGAAATGACATGAGCAAATTCAAGTGTGGCTGTCACAAGGATGCTACAGACCAAATATGAAGTAAATCTGCTTAGTTGTTTCAGAGAAGAAGACGATTGTTGACGCATGACGACAGACGCCAGAGCATCCCCCTTTGATACTAATAGCTCACCCTGAGCCTTCGGCTCTGGTGAGCTAAAAATGAACACAGTCTTGAAACACAATACTACCTAAGATGCATGAATGAGATCACTGATATCTGGTACCAAATATTCTATATTTACATTATTTCTGTGTATTATTACCTACCCTGAGATATTATCTTCATAAAATCAACAGAAAAAACAGAGTTACTTTTTTGTAGGATATATTCCATGATTACAAAATTTAAGTGTATTACAAGAACCTTTCTTGAAATATTATGTAAACAAGCAATCATCATAGAATTGCAAGCAATCAAGAAGTCCCCTACCCGTTAGAACCCCAGCAACATTCTGAAGGGCCATTGGTCACTTAATTATGTCACTGAATGAATGAATGAATGACATGAATAAACTTAAATCTTTTGAGTTCTTAAATTGTCTGTATCTAAGTAATATGTGAAGTGTCCCTTATTATGTTTATAGAACAGATAATCAAAAGATCCAATTTTGTCAGGATGAATATGTATGACTGATGTTTCAACTTTTCAATATTTTAAGTAAATTTGTTATAAAAGTTCCAATGTCTTTAAAAGTGATCTCAAGAAACAGTTTTTAGAAACGGATAGACAGACCAACTGACTGAGACCCTGAGGATAAATCTTTAAACATCCCTGGTTGTTACCAGAATATAACATTTTTAATAGTAAAATTCTTGAACTAAGAGGAGATAACTCTTGAAATAAAGATGCTAGACTTATGAACATTTTCATACATGATGTGAGTGTAACAAAGAACAATTATCGCAAGATTAACCAATTATAAGGAACCCCAAATATGAGTTATATTTTTATATTACATAATGCATATTTTTGTACATTTTTGTATCTATATTTTACTTGTTTGTATTTTCAAATTTAAAACCTTAAAATAACATGTATTTTTTACAGTAATTACTTCTTCAAACTTTGGGATAGAAACCATCATTCTTAACACATTTTGCTTAAGCCTAGGAAGCACTTTAGGTCTTTTTAGCACTTTTCTTTGTTTAACAGATGGACTGTTTTTTATAGAGTAAATACAAACAAATACAGAATAATAGTTGAGTAAAATATCACAGCTTTATTTCCTTCTTAGTTTTTGACATTTATAACTTCAAAGTGTAAACCCATTTATAAATTAATTCTACTTTTCAAACAATTCCAAAACATACCTATAAAATAGACAGTCATAATTTCTTGGACTGTCAATAAAGGATATATTTTGACTTATACTGTCTATGTGTATTTCTACAGACTGTAAACAAAATAGCAATCCTTCCCCACAAACACGCAGTTCGTTAAAGATAGATCGTTAAAGATTAGTGGAGAATCCGGGTAATGTCAACACCTGAAACGCTATTATCTACAGACAACGGAAACGAAGGGACCTCAGAAGATCCATAAGAATCAAACTTGGCGCTGAGTGACCACGAAGATACCGTCTTGTCTGAAGAAAGCAATTCTGATCCAGTGTTGAATTTTACATTCTCGAGATCTACAGCCAAATAATAATCAGACAACTTAGATGTTGCTGACTGATTCATAAAAGCAGGATGGTATGACTTACATTACTATTCAACAGAAGGTCGCTGAGCATCTGCAGAAAATGAGCTGGCCAACGTCTAAACAAAATAGGCAACCACCTGCATCAATGATTTTAAATAAAGCTGGAAAAATGGATGCTCTTTCCAAGTATGTTAAAATATTAGGAGTTTGTTATAATGGAACTCAATGGAACTGTATTCACTTTGTAAACAGGTCTCGCCGCTGGCTTGCGGAACACCTAGTTAACACTTATATGATTTCAGAATATCTGAAAACTCACACAAAACAGGGAAAGAGAAGAAAGAGGCACAAACCATAATATTTCACTAGATCTGTTAACAAATAGATAGGATTATACTGATGAATGAAGTCACTCACAACTCTGGCGCCAAAACTATCTTTCTCAACTTTGATCTTTATTGTATATAAAATTTAAGTAGTGAATCCTACAACAAAATTCTTCTTTCTTTGTTGTCTAACTCTTCTCTTGGTTCACTACTAGAATTTTATCAGATTTCCCCTTACTTTCTGAGTTCAGTGATGGCTATATTCTGATGTGTGTACTAATGTGATTGTTTGATTTAAGTGAAGAAACAGAAACTGTGATACCTACAACAAACTCTTCTCTGTTGTCTCAATAGTGCTAACTCTTACTAGAATTTTTATCAGATTTCTCCTTCAGTGTCTCTATTCTGAGGTGTGTACTAATGTGCATAATGGTCATGTTTGGTCTGATTTATTTAAGTGAAAGAACAGAAAATGTGAAACGGCTTAATCATGGAATTCTCTTTAAGAAAGAAAACCCTGTGTTCATTGCAAGTGACTTTTGGTACCAAAGTTTTAAAATTGAATACCCATTAGATATTGCTATGCCATATATTTTCCCCTTTGCAAATGAAATACTGTTGTTATATACTATAAATGTAACTGTATTTTTGACAATCTTACTCTTATATACATTCTATAGAGTAAGGAAACTAAGCACGGCTTTATTAATTATACAACAGGTGCAACAAGTCAAAGGGCTGCCATCTACAGTTCCTAGTTTTATTTACAAACCAAAAACTGCAGCTCCACAGCTCAGTCAGTCTCTGTCCTTGGACTTAAAATGGGAACATTCAAATTTTGTTTTGCTTCTTCTAATACTTATTTTGATTGCTATCTACTTGTTTAAAAAGAATTGTAAAAGTAAAAACTCTACAGTGTGTCTAGAGATCTCAAACAATGATGACTGTGTTCTACTTGACATTATTCGGTTGCCCAGGTGCCCATCTAGTTACCATATTAATGTCCCTGCTTCAGTATCTGATTTTAACATGAAAAGCATTGTCTGTCATGCAAGTTAACTGTATGTTGGCCTGGCTTCTCTATAGTGGACAAACAGTCTGAAACAATTCTTTATGTTTCTTCAGCAATTCCTCTTAGTATGACCTTAGCAAACAAACTACAAAATATTTTTACAAAACCATTCTATGTTTACTTTTACCAAAAACACAACCTACTCATACCAATTAGACATCAGTAGGTACCACCAGGACAGTTATTATTTAGCGTTGACTCTCACTGTTGTATATTGATGTATATTCTTTTTATTTTTGTAAACTCATATATTTGTAATATGACTTTCACTTTTTATTCTTTGTATTTAATTTAAAAAGCATTATGTTTAAATACTTTTGCCTAAAAAACTTTCATACCTTACTTCGTTCAAACTTTGGGGTCAAAGTTCTCGAAGCCGAGGGGAATTATAAGGAACCCCAAATATGAGTTATATTTTTATATTACATAATGCATATTTTTGTACATTTTTGTATCTATATTTTACTTGTTTGTATTTTCAAATTTAAAACCTTAAAATAAACATGT